TACCTTCTGTCTATCAAAACCTACTATTGTGTACCTTAGCATTACCTTCTGTCTACTAAAACCTACTATTGTGTACCTTAGCATTACCTTCTGTCTACTAAAACCTACTATTGTGTACCTTAGCATTACCTTCTGTCTACTAAAACCTACTATTGTGTACCTTAGCATTACCTTCTGTCTACTAAAACCTACTATTGTGTACCTTAGCATTACCTTCTGTCTATCAACACCTACTATTGTGTACCTTAGCATTACCTTCTGTCTACTAAAACCTACTATTGTGTACCTTAGCATTACCTTCTGTCTACTAAAACCTACTATTGTGTACCTTAGCATTACCTTCTGTCTATCAAAACCTACTATTGTGTACCTTAGCATTACCTTCTGTCTATCAAAACCTACTATTGTGTACCTTAGCATTACCTTCTGTCTATCAAAACCTACTATTGTGTACCTTAGCATTACCTTCTGTCTATCAAAACATACTATTGTGTATCTTAGCATTACCTTCTGTCTATCAAAACCTACTATTGTGTACCTTAGCATTACCTTCTGTCTATCAAAACCTACTATTGTGTACCTTAGCATTACCTTCTGTCTATCAAAACCTACTATTGTGTACCTTAGCATTACCTTCTGTCTATCAAAACCTACTATTGTGTATCTTAGCATTACCTTCTGTCTATCAAACCTACTATTGTGTACCTTAGCATTACCTTCTGTCTATCAAAACCTACTATTGTGTACCTTAGCATTACCTTCTGTCTATCAAAACCTACTATTGTGTACCTTAGCATTACCTTCTGTCTATCAAAACCTACTATTGTGTACCTTAGCATTACCTTCTGTCTATCAAAACCTACTATTGTGTATCTTAGCATTACCTTCTGTCTATCAAAACCTACTATTGTGTACCTTAGCATTACCTTCTGTCTATCAAAACCTACTATTGTGTACCTTAGCATTACCTTCTGTCTATCAAAACCTACTATTGTGTACCTTAGCATTACCTTCTGTCTATCAAAACCTACTATTGTGTATCTTAGCATTACCTTCTGTCTATCAAAACCTACTATTGTGTACCTTAGCATTACCTTCTGTCTATCAAAACCTACTATTGTGTATCTTAGCATTACCTTCTGTCTATCAAAACCTACTATTGTGTACCTTAGCATTACCTTCTGTCTATCAAAACCTACTATTGTGTATCTTAGCATTACCTTCTGTCTATCAAAACCTACTATTGTGTACCTTAGCATTACCTTCTGTCTATCAAAACATACTATTGTGTATCTTAGCATTACCTTCTGTCTATCAAAACCTACTATTGTGTACCTTAGCATTACCTTCTGTCTACCAAAACCTACTATTGTGTACCTTAGCAGCGCCTCCCTTCCTTCTTTTTTCATCTAGTGGAAAGCCTTCCCAAAAGAGTGGAGGCTGTTATAGCAGCAAAGGGGGGACTAACTCCATATTAATGCCCATGATTTTGGAATCAGATGTTCGATGAGCCGGTGTCCACATACTGTTTGTCATATAGTGTAAACACACACACAGACAGACAGCCCTTGTTTGTGTGCATTTGGTCTCTGTCTCTCTCTCTCTCTCTCTCTCTCTCTCTCTCTTTCTCTCTCTCTCTCTCTCTCTCTCTCTCTCTCTCTCTCTCTCTCTCTCTCTCTCTCTCTCTCTCTCTCTGTCTCTCTCTCTCTCTCTGTCTCTCTCTCTCTCTGTCTCTCTCTCTGTCTCTTGTGTGTTTTCTGTGCTAGCTATGTGTGTTTTCTGTGCTCACGCTCTGTCTCTCTCTCTTGATCTCCCTGTCTCTCTCTCTGTTTCTCTCTCTGTATCTCTCTGTCTCTCTTGTGTGTTTTCTGTGCTCTCTCTCTTTCTCTGTCTTTCTCTCTCTCTCTTTCTCTGTCTTTCTCTCTCACTCTGTCTTGTGTATTTTCTGTGCTCTGTCTGATGGTAAACTCAGATAGCCCTGATTATTCAGCTACTGGGCTACAGTATAACACCCTCTCCTCTCCTAGCTGGTGTCAGTCGGGGTGAACAGTGTGTTGGACGAGGTGTTTGCCCAGGGGCTGCTGACTGACTGACTGACTGATTCAAGGACAAACACCCCTCTCACTTCCAGCTCCTCTGTCTGTCCCATCTGTCCATCTGCTCTCTCCATCAGACCCTCTCCTCTGCCAGGTCTGACTGCTCCCTCCATCTCTCTCTCTCCATCAGACCCTCTCCTCTGCCAGATCTGACTGCTCCCTCCATCTCTCTCCCTCCATCTCTCTCTCTCCTCTGCCAGGTCTGACTGCTCCCTCCATCTCTCTCTCTCCATCAGACCCTCTCCTCTGCCAGATCTGACTGCTCTCTCCATCTCTCTCTCTCTCCATCAGACCCTCTCCTCTGCCAGGTCTGACTGCTCCCTCCATCTCTCTCTCTCTCCATCAGACCCTCTCCTCTGCCAGATCTGACTGCTCCCTCCATCTCTCTCTCTCTCCATCAGACCCTCTCCTCTGCCAGATCTGACTGCTCCCTCCATCTCTCTCTCTCTCCATCAGACTCTCTCCTCTGCCAGATCTGACTGCTCCCTCCATCTCTCTCTCTCTCCATCAGACCCTCTCCTCTGCCAGATCTGACTGCTCCCTCCATCTCTCTCTCTCTCCATCAGACTCTCTCCTCTGCCAGGTCTGACTGCTCCCTCCATCTCTCTCTCTCCATCAGACTCTCTCCTCTGCCAGATCTGACTGCTCCCTCCATCTCTCTCGCTCCATCTCTCTCTCTCCATCAGACCCTCTCCTCTGCCAGATCTGACTGCTCCCTCCATCTCTCTCTCTCCATCAGACTCTCTCCTCTGCCAGATCTGACTGCTCCCTCCATCTCTCTCTCTCCATCAGACTCTCTCCTCTGCCAGATCTGACTGCTCCCTCCATCTCTCTCTCTCTCCATCAGACTCTCTCCTCTGCCAGATCTGACTGCTCCCTCCATCTCTCTCTCTCCATCAGACTCTCTCCTCTGCCAGATCTGACTGCTCCCTCCATCTCTCTCTCTCTCCATCAGACTCTCTCCTCTGCCAGATCTGACTGCTCCCTCCATCTCTCTCTCTCTCCATCAGACTCTCTCCTCTGCCAGATCTGACTGCTCCCTCCATCTCTCTCTCTCCATCAGACTCTCTCCTCTGCCAGATCTGACTGCTCCCTCCATCTCTCTCTCTCTCCATCAGACTCTCTCCTCTGCCAGATCTGACTGCTCCCTCCATCTCTCTCTCTCCATCAGACTCTCTCCTCTGCCAGATCTGACTGCTCCCTCCATCTCTCTCTCTCCATCAGACCCTCTCCTCTGCCAGATCAGACTGCTCCCTCCATCTCTCTCTCTCCATCAGACTCTCTCCTCTGCCAGATCTGACTGCTCCCTCCACCCGTCAGAGCCTGGTTCCTCTCTAGGTTTCTGCCTTTCTGCCTTTCTAGGGAGTTTTTCCTAGCCACCGTGCTTCTACATCTGCATTGCTTGCTGTTTGGGGTTTTAGGCTGAGTTTCTGTATAGCACTTTGTGACATCTGCTGATGTAAAAAGGGCTTTATAAATAGATTGGATTGATTGATTGAATCAGGGATGATGTGGGGTTTTTTTTCTGCCAGCATACATTGAAGTGGATCTACTGTATCTGTACCTTTCAAGCTAATATTCCTATTTTCTCTTGCCGCATGGTGATGTCACAATGAAAGGCCACAACAGGCTGACATGTCAGGTGGTCTTTTCAAACAGCTCTTACACTAAAAGGGCATTATCATCATTTTCACAATTTAACAGTATTATTCCAACCTCATAGTGTGGAAATATATATAAAACACAGGAAAATCACATTTTTGACTGCACTGGGCCTTTTAAAAACTCCACAGTACACACAGACCAGGGGACCTCGTATTTGACCATGGAGACGGAGGGATGTCCATCCAACATGTTTCCTCCACATGGGAATTAAGAGCATGCCAGGGACCCCTTGTTATGTTATTTACATAAGCAGAAGCTCATGATGGACCATAGTTTGTGTCTGAACTGGAACTGAAAGTCACCCCTCTAACCAGTGATGTGATGGTTACGTAGGTAGGTGAACACTGATCGCCGTTCACGGGTAGGTGTGTAAAGAGTGTTGACCCTCCACTACATAACAGTCCATCCAGCTCGCAGGTCTTCTGAGGCTCAGGGGATACAGAGCTTGTTTTATGTTGCGCCAAGGGCTTTATGATGATGAATAAGAGGAAGGGACAGGGGTGGATCAACCGATACATCCATAAAACTTCAGAGTCCCTGATTATGTCTTAGATGTATGGCAGACCAGCGGTAGTTAACATGGAAGGAGGATGGGAATGATAGTGTTGCTGTTTAGCTTTTCCAGTTGTTTTTGGTGATCTCTCTCTACTTCCTTCTCTCTGTAATCTGTCTTCTCACTACCATGCTGTGAGGACAGGTCTTTCCTTCTCTCTGTAATCTGTCTTCTCACTACCATGCTGTGAGGACAGGTCTTTCCTTCTCTCTGTCTTCTCACTACCATGCTGTGAGGACAGGTCTCTCCTTCTCTCTGTCTTCTCACTACCATGCTGTGAGGACAGGTCTCTCCTTCTCTCTGTCTTCTCACTACCATGCTGTGAGGACAGGTCTTTCCTTCTCTCTGTCTTCTCACTACCATGCTGTGAGGACAGGTCTTTCCTTCTCTCTGTCTTCTCACTACCATGCTGTGAGGACAGGTCTGTTGTGTTCTATCTCTGTGTTCCAGAATGGCACTGACTATGGGTTCCTAGAGTTGATATGTTGTGTTCTATCTCTGTGTTCCAGAATGGCACTGACTATGGGTTCCTGGAGTTGATATGTTGTGTTCTATCTCTGTGTTCCAGAATGGCACTGACTATGGGTTCCTAGAGTTGATATGTTGTGTTCTATCTCTGTGTTCCAGAATGGCACTGACTATGGGTTCCTGGAGTTGATATGTTGTGTTCTATCTCTGTGTTCCAGAATGGCACTGACTATGGGTTCCTGGTGCGTCAGAACTCAGAGCTGCTGCGAGCTCTGGATGAGATGGAGAAGACCTGCACCCAGCTGAGAGAGGAGAACAGCCTGCTGGTAAAACACTGTTCACTCTATGGAGAGACTAAGACTGAACTAACTGGCTACAGGAGTTAGAGGCCTGGACTCTCTTTCAACAGCCGCTGAGTTTAGCACAGGTCAATGCCACGATGCTGAGACTCAGATGTTACACGTTAAGGCCAAGCACCACAGGCTGAAACTGCATCTACCTATCAATTTAGGGATTAGTTGGTATTTTTGTCCATTAATATTAGAAAATGTAGAAAACTTTTAATTTTTATTGCCGTTTTTGTGCATTTATCAGACTGCCATCAGTTGGCCTGATTTCAGATGTGTCCATGTAAACAAGATTATTAGGGAAATCGTTCTTCTTGCAAAGCATGTAAACATTTAAATCAAACTATTATATTAATCTGACTATCCACAATGTATTATTGTTTATTATAATATTGTCGTATTATTGTGTGCATACTGGCTGTGTTCCTATTGGTCAGTCACCGGGATCGGCTCGTAACATGATGAAGGCAAAAAATCTGAAACTGCTAGAATTTAGCCAGAGCCTATTTAATCAGCAGATATAGACCCTGTCACACTGAACGAACCAAGATGTCCGACAATCGTTTACGACTGAAGAATTTGCCCACAACCTGGACATTTTGTCGAAGACGTCAAAATCGTGGCATAAAACTGCTAAAATTGTACAGTCTGCAAAGGCCTTTAGATATATTCTCCAGACTTGCCCAGAGGGAATTGTTGATATGTTGTACATTTTTTATTCTAAATAACTTATTTGGGGGGAAAAATGCGCCAAAAATGTATTTAGTATTTCACAGATAGAAAGATTTAAAAAGTATTTATCCACAATCTTGCTCTGGACAAGTCCGGTCCTGCATGTCTTAACAAAATGAAACAGAAAATATTTACTTCAGCCAATGTTCAGAAAAATGAATTAGCATGGTATGCAAATATGTGCGCATATTTAATGAGGTATCACTTCATTTGCATATTTCAAAAAAATACTTCTGAAATGTTTCTACAAAACAAGTAGCATATTTGTGTCTACATTCAACTGGTAAAAGTTGATTGTGATATGATTAAGAGGAACAAAAATCCCTATTAGGGTGTGGTGTAGGTCAAACAAAAACCAATGATTGCAAACCATACAACTCTCTGCTCAAGGACTACATTTAACAATTTCCACTGAACATTGTACAAAAAAACACATTTACTTGAAGAAGAGTACAGATGCAAAGTTTGGTAACAGAATGACGGCACAAACAGCACAAACTGCCTTTCTGTTACCAAACTTTGAGCTGTTTTTGTAAAATGTTCTGTGGAAATAGAGTTGTATGGTTTGTTTAAATTTGTAATCACTGGTTTTTGTTAGACACACATTTTAATGTGAAAGATCTGAATCTCAGCATCACTCTGTTACAGTGGAATTGCCCCACACAAGACCAAGTTCCAAGTGTCTTGAGAAAACGTTTCCAGGACCGTGGACTAGACTTAAAACCTGAACTAGCTTTTGTCCAGGGCCGTAGACTTAAACAGAACTATATTTTGTCCAGGGCCGTGGACTAGACTTAAAACCTGAACTAGCTTTTGTCCAGGGCCGTAGACTTAAAACCAGAACTATATTTTGTCCAGGGCCGTGGACTAAACTTAACCAGAACTAGCTTTTGTCTTTGTCTTTTGAGCCCCTCTCTTCAGTTTCAGCTACTGTACTATTTTGGTCCTGTCCTCACAACACCTGTCCTGTCCTGTACTGTCCTGTCCTGTCCTGTCCTGTCCTGTCCTGTCCTGTCCTGTCCTGTCCTGTCCTGTCCTGTCCTGTCCTGGCTGTGTCAGTCAGAGCTGCAGGCCTGTGGAGGAGGGTTTTAATATATCTCTCTCACAGGATGTTGGTGTCACCTTAATTAGGGAGGACGGGCTCATGGTAATGGCTGGAGCGGAATTGGTGGAATGGTATCATACACCAAACACATGGTTTCCATGGTTTCCAGGTGTTTGATGCCATTCCATTCGCTCCGTTCCAGCTATTATTATGAGCCGTCCTCCCCTCAGTAGCCTCCACTGACTCTATCCTTCTCTCTCGCTGCAGCGGAAGAGCAGCGCCCCAGAGACGGAGGAGAAGGTGAAGCGTCTGAGGAGGAAGAACATAGAGCTGGCTGTCATCGCTAAGAGGCTGGAGGAAAGGGCACACAAACTACAGGAGGCTAACCTCAAAGTGGTACACCTACTCTTTACAGATATAGTCTAGACTCTAGTGCCTTACTCTTTACAGATATAGTCTAGACTCTAGTGCCTTACTCTTTACAGATACTATAGTCTAGACTCTAGTGCCTTACTCTTTACAGATATAGTCTAGACTCTAGTGCCTTACTCTTTACAGATATAGTCTAGACTCTAGTGCCTTACTCTTTACAGATATAGTCTAGACTCTAGTGCCTTACTCTTTACAGATATAGTCTAGACTCTAGTGCCTTACTCTTTACAGATATAGTCTAGACTCTAGTGCCTTACTCTTTACAGATATAGTCTAGACTCTAGTGCCTTACTCTTTACAGATATAGTCTAGACTCTAGTGCCTTACTCTTTACAGATATAGTCTAGACTCTAGTGCCTTACTCTTTACAGATATAGTCTAGACTCTAGTGCCTTACTCTTTACAGATATAGTCTAGACTCTAGTGCCTTACTAACTGCATGTATGCATGCAAGAGGCCAACCTCATTGGTACGTACAGACACTCTGCCCATCAGTGTTTACAGATACAGAATAGATGTGTATATACAGTTGAAGTCAGAAGTTTGCATACACTTAGGTTGGAGTCATTATAACTTGTTTTTCAACCACTCCACAAATTTCTTGTTAAGAAACTATAGTTTTGGCAAGTTGGTTAGGACATCTACTTCGGTTGGTTAGGACATCTTGTGCATGACACAAGTAATTTTTCCAACAATTGTTTACAGACAGATTATTTCACTTATAATTCACTGTATCACAATTCCAGTGGGTCAGAAGTTTACATACACTAAGTTGACTGTGCCTTTAAACAGCTTGGAAAATTCCAGAAAAGGATGGCATGGCTTTAGAAGCTTCTGATAGGCTAATTGACATCATTTGAGTCAATTGGAGGTGTACCTGTGGATGTATGTCACGATCGTCATACACAACGGACCAAGGCGCAGCGTGATAGGCGTACATCTTTAATGGAGTACTTAATACAATGCAACAAAACAACAAAACGATACGTGAAGTCTACGGTCAATAACACAAACCTACACAGAACAAGATCCCACAAATAGCTATGCCAAACAGGCTGCCTAAGTATGGTTCCCAATCAGAGACAACGAGAATCAGCTGCCTCTGATTGGGAACCACCCTGGCCAACATAGATCTACATGATCTAGAACATAACATAGAAAATACAACATAGATAATCCACACCCTGGCTCAACATATAAGAGTCCCCAGAGCCAGGGCGTGACAATGTATTTCAAGGCCTACCTTCAAACTCAGTGCCTCTTTGCTTGACATCATGGGAAAATCTAAAGAAATCAGCCAAGAGCTCAGAAAATAAATTGTAGACCTCCACAAGTCTGGTTCATCCTTGGGAGCAATTTCCAAACGCCTGAAGGTACCACGTTCATCTGTACAAACAATAGTACGCAAGTATAAACACCATGGGACCACGCAGCCGTCATACCGCTCAGGAAGGAGACGCGTTCTGTCTTCTAGAGATGAACGTACTTTGGTGCAAAAAGTGCAAATCAATCCCAGAACAACAGCAAAGGACCTTGTGAAGATGCTGGAGGAAACAGGTACAAAAGTATCTATGTCCATAGTAAAACGAGTCCTATATCGACATAACCTGAAAGGCCGCTCATCAAGGAAGACTACGGTTTGCAACTGCACATGGAGACAAAGATCGTACTTTTTGGAGATATGTCCTCTGGTCTGATGAAACAAAAATAGAACTGATTGGCCATAATGACCATCGTTATGTTTGGAGGAAAAGGGGGGTAGCTTGCAAGCCGTAGAAAACCATCCGAACCGTGAAGCACGTGGGTGGCAGCATCATGCTGTGGGGGTGCTTTGCTGCAGGAGGGACTGGTGCACTTCACAAAATAGATGGCATCATGAGGAAGGAAAATTATGTGGATATATTGAAGCAACATCTCAAGACGTCAGGAAGTTAAAGCTTGGTCGCAAATAGGTCTTCAAAATGGATAATGACCCCAAGCATACTTCCAAAGTTGTGGCAAAATGGATTAAGGACAACAAAGTCAAGGTATTGGAGTGGCCATCACAAAGCCCTGACCTCAATCCTATAGAACATTTGTGGGTAGAACTGAAAAAGCTTGTGCGAGCAAGGAGGCCTACAAACCTGACTCAGTTACACCAGCTCTGTCAGGAGGAATTTGCCAAAATTCACCCAACTTATTGTGGGAAGCTTGTGGAAGGCTACCCGAACCGTTTGTCCCAAGTTAAACAATTTAAATGCAATGCTACCAAATACTAATTGAGTGTATGTAAACTTATGACCCACTGGGAATGTGATGAAAGAAATAAAAGCTGAAATAAATCATTCTCTCTACTATTATTCTGACATTTCACATTCTTAAAATAAAGTGGTGATCCTAACTGACCTAAAACAGGGAATTTTTACTAGGATTAAATGTCAGGAATTGTGAAAAACTGAGTTTAAATGTATTTGGCTAAGGTGTATGTAAACTTCCGACTTCAACTGTTTACAGATACAGAATAGTTAGCTTACTGCTTACTGTCAAACTCATTACCCAGCAGGCCAACCTCAAACTGGGACACGCACTGCCTATTACCGTTTACAGATATAGCTAGTGCCTTACTGCAAGTCTTAGAAATAATAGAAAAAGTTAAATACGTAGTAGGCGTTACCTAAAAACTCTTGATCACAATTTTGTGGAAGCAGCATTCAACCCTACAGGTCATTCCTGTCTGATGAGCAGCATTCAAACCTACAGGTCATTCCTGTCTGATGACGTCTCAGATTTGTACTATTCTGCCATCTGGTGGCATCTTGCAAAACTGCACAGCTACAGCATCTTGAACACTCTAACACATGTGTATGAATCAGAAGATTATAAACAGGGACTATAATATTACAGAGGACCAGAACCCCCCATCAGCCACTCCCATGCCCCTCCACCAGGTCTGGGCTAATCAGCCACATTAGTCACCCTCTCTCCTCTCTCTCTTTCTCTCTCTCTCTCTCTCTCTCTATCTCTCTCTCTCTCTGTCCCTCTCTCTCCCCCTCACCCTCTCTCTCCATCTCCCTCTCTCCATCTCTCTCTCATTCTCTCTCTCTCTCTCTCTCTCTCTCTCTCTCTCTCTCTCTCTCTCTCTCTCTCTCTCTCTCTCTCTCTCTCTCTCTCTATCTCTCCATTTCTCTCTCTCTCTCCCTCTCTCTCCCAAAACGAACTGTGAGCCAACTATCTTAATTTGGGGACAGGTCGAAACACACATGAAACATTCATGGACGTTCTGCTGTTGCTAGCTAATTTGTCCTGGGAGACATAGCTGCGGAAAGTATGGGGTGCTGAGGGTGTTGCAGCACCCCCTAAAAAATCAGAATACACATTTTACAAATTAATTTAATCAATTTTAGAATAAGGCTGTAACGTAACAAAATGTGGAAAAAGTCAAGTCAATACTTTCCCAATGTACTTTATGTCCCCAGTCCTGGCCTGGCGGTCAAAATATATACAGTACCAGTCAAATGTTTGGACACACCTACTCATTCCAGGTTTTTTACATTGTAGAATAATAGTGAAGACATCAAAACTATGAAATAACACATATGGAATCATGTAGTAACCAAAAAAGTGTTTAACAAATCAAAATATATTTGAGATTCTTCAAAGTAGCCACCCTTTGCCTTGATGACAGCTTTGCACACTCTTGGCATTCTCTCAACCAGCTTCACCTGGAATGCTTTTCCAACAGTCTTGAAGGAGTTCCCACATATGCTGAGCACTTGTTGGCTGCTTTTCCTTCATGCTGCGGTCCACCACGTGACATGAGTACACGACCAGTCAGAACTGGGATATTTGTGATGAACAGTCCTTCTTTGTGTTGACCCTTGACCTCTAACCCCTCCCCTCTGTCTAGGTGAATGCCCCAGCTCCGGTGGAGCAGTACAAGCGGGCGTTTGCCCGTCAGCGAGCCCGTGACCTGGCGCAGCATGCAGATACACTGCTCTCCAAGGACAAGGAGATCGTCGCCCTGCAGCAGAAGTGCAGAGAGCTGGGGACACGCTTGGGCACAGCCAAGGTACCCAACACCATATCCCAACACCTGCCAATTCCACCCCCCCTGGACACTGTCTTTCAATAACAACCTAGAGTTCGTGTTTTAGATCGACTACTTTGCAGTCGGGACTGCGCATAATCACTGATCTAAAAATCACCTTGCATCTCAAATAACTACTCACTCGTTATGTAATCAATATTGGTGGTTCTGCTCCTCTCCTTGCTCAAACTGATCCCCTCAAAAGCACTGAAACATTTCAATAAGAACCTATTATCTAACAGGAGCAGTCTAAAAGGTTCACTGTATCATCCGTTGTAGTCAGTCACATTCACTAACCTCATCAAAGGTCTATAATGCCTCAGTTCTGCCCTCTGCTGGGCTGGATAAACCCTCTCTGAACCTGAACTACTTCCTGGGCTGTACTAATAGATGTCCGTGGTGAGAGGTTCTAACTGCCTCCTCCTTTTACTGTTCTTCTTCTGTCACTAAGATCTCATTGTTCTGGTCTAAACATCTGCTGGGAGTATTACTACTGAGGGAATCCCAGCGTGAGCTGAGTTGATGGTAATAGTGTGGATGATGATTGGGAGTGTCATCCAGCAGTACTCTGTTAGCCCGTGGAGCAGTTGTTCTTGGGGGGTTAAGTGCTTTGCGCTAGGGCACAACGGCAGGCAATGGCATCTAGGATTTGCCAGCTCACTTCCCGCCAGATCTTTCCCCATTAGACCCGGGAATCGAATTGGCAACCCTGCGGTTGCTGGCTTGCCTCTCTAAACGCTAGGCTACCTGCAGACCCATTGATCCAGGAATTTCCTCAGTCTTCCTCAGTCTTAAAATCTTGAAATACAGTGGTTGAAGATCTGATAACATTCAGTATCAAAAATATGCAAAAGTAGAGAAAATTAGAAAGGGGGCAAATACTTTTTCACGGCACTGTATTTAGTATCTTTGCATGTTGAAATATCTTTGACCTCTGTGTGTTGCAGGGCTCCCCAGTCCCGTCTGGCGTGGTGGAGTTTGAGAGGCTGCTGAGGGAGTCCCAGAAGGAGGTGCTGAGGCTCCAGAGGCAACTGTCAATCTCCTCCTCCAGAGACACCTCCTCTAAAGACACCTCCTCTAAAGACGCCTCCTCCAGAGACACCTCCTCCAGAGACACCTCCTCTAGAGTCACCTCCTCTAGAGTCACCTCCTCCAGAGACACCTCCTCTAGAGACACCTCCTCTAGAGTCACCTCCTCTAGAGTCACCTCCTCTAGAGTCACCTCCTCTAGAGATACCTCCTCTAGAGTCACCTCCTCCAGAGTCACCTCCTCCAGAGTCACCTCCCCTAAAGACGCCTCATGCAGGAAACACAATGGCCACGACAGGCCCTGCACACCAGAGGAGGAGAGGGTGGAGAAGGTAAGGAAGGATTGGAGCTATTTCCTCTCTCAGCCATATACTGCTCTGCCCAGCTCCAACACTACCCCATGCCTCTCTCTCAGCCATAGACTGCTCTGCCCAGCTCCAACACTACCCCCTGCCTCTCTCTCAGCCATAGACTGCTCTGCCCAGCTCCAACACTACCCCCTGCCTCTCTCTCAGCCATAGACTGCTCTGCCCAGCTCCAACACTAACCCCTGCCTCTCTCTCAGCCATAGACTGCTCTGCCCAGCTCCAACACTAACCCCTGCCCTGCCTCTCTCTCAGCCATAGACTGCTCTGCCCAGCTCCAACACTAACCCCTGCCTCTCTCTCAGCCATATACTGCTCTGCCCAGCTCCAACACTAACCCCTGCCTCTCTCTCAGCCATAGACTGCTCTGCCCAGCTCCAACACTAACCCCTGCCTCTCTCTCAGCCATATACTGCTCTGCCCAGCTCCAACACTAACCCCTGCCTCTCTCTCAGCCATAGACTGCTCTGCCCAGCTCCAACACTACCCCCTGCCTCTCTCTCAGCCATAGACTGCTCTGCCCAGCTCCAACACTAATCCCTGCCTCTCTCTCAGCCATATACTGCTCTGCCCAGCTCCAACACTACCCCCTGCCTCTCTCTCAGCCATAGACTGCTCTGCCCAGCTCCAATTTTTTTCATTTTTTTTTTCACCTTTATTTAACCAGGTAAGCCAGTTGAGAACAGGTTCTCATTTACAACTGCGACCTGGCCAAGATAAAGCAAAGTAGTGCAATAAAAACAACACAGAGTTACATATGGGGTAAAAAAAAACATAAAGTCAGAAATACAACAGAAAATATATATACAGTGTGTGCAAATGTAGCAAGTTATGGAGGTAAGGCAATAAATAGGCTATAGTGCAGAATAATTACAATAGTATTAACACTGGAATGCTAGATGTGCAAGAGATGATGTGCAAATAGAGATACTGGGGTGCAAAAGAGCAAAATAAATAACAATATAGGGATGAGGTAGTTGGGTGGGCTAATTTCAGATGGGCTGTGTACAGGTGCAGTGATCGGTAAGGTGCTCTGACAACTGATGCTTAAAGTTATTGAGGGAGATAAGAGTCTCCAGCTTCAGAGATTTTTGCAATTCGTTCCAGTCATTGGCAGCAGAGAACTGGAAGGAATGGCGGCCAAAGGAGGTGTTGGCTTTGGGAATGACCAGTGAGATATACCTGCTGGAGCGCAGACTACGGGTGGGTGCTGCTATGGTGACCAATGAGCTAAGATAAGGCGGGGATTTGCCTAGCAGTGATTTATAGATGGCCTGGAGCCAGTGGGTTTGACGACGAACATGTAGTGAGGACCAGCCAACAAGAGCGTACAGGTCACAGTGGTGGGTAGTGTATGGGGCTTTGGAGACAAAACGGATGGCACTGTGATAGACTACATCCAATTTGCTGAGTAGAGTGTTGGAGGCTATTTTGTAAATGACATCGCCGAAGTCAAGGATCGGTAGGATAGTCAGTTTTACAAGGGCATGTTTGGCAGCATGAGTGAAGGAGGCTTTGTTGCGAAATAGGAAGCCGATTCTAGATTTAACTTTGGATTGGAGATTCTTTATGTGAGTCTGGAAGTTGAGTTTACAGTCTAACCAGACACCTAGATATTTGTAGTTGTCCACATACTCTAGGTCAGACCCGTCGAGAGTGGTGATTCTAGTCGGGTGGGCGGGTGCTAGCAGCGTTCGATTGAAAAGCATGCATTTAGTTTTACTAGTGTTTAAGAGCAGTTGAAGGCTACTGAAGGATTGTTGTATGGCATTGAAGCTCCAACACTAACCCCTGCCTCTCTCTCAGCCATAGACTGCTCTGCCCAGCTCCAACACTACCCCCTGCCTCTCTCTCAGCCATAGACTGCTCTGCCCAGCTCCAACACTACCCCCTGCCTCTCTCTCAGCCATAGACTGCTCTGCCCAGCTCCAATACTGCCCCCTGTTGATGATAAAGTGCACTGCATCAGACTGAGGGAAAGAAACTGAAGTCCTTTTCCACTGTTAGATGGCAAGCTCAAATCAACAGACCTGAAATCATTTCAAATACTCTAGCTGTTTGATTGAGCTTCCCTGTTGCAGGTTAACCAATAGTAAACTCCTAAATGCGCAAACCACGTCCACCTTTCAAATTATTTTTTATATTTTAAACGGTATAGAAGTTACTGTCCATCTCACTGTCCATCTAACTGTCCATCTCACTGTCCATCTCACTGTCCATCTCACTGTCCATCTAACTGTCCATCTCACTGTCCATCTAACTGTCCATCTAACTGTCCATCTAACTGTCCATCTCACTGTCCATCTAACTGTCCATATAACTGTCCATCTAACTGTCCATCTAACTGTCCATATAACTGTCCATCTCACTGTCCATCTCACTGTCCATCTAACTGTCCATCTAACTGTCCATCTCACTGTCCATCTAACTGTCCATCTAACTGTCCATATAACTGTCCATCTCACTGTCCATCTCACTGTCCATCTAACTGTCCATCTAACTGTCCATATAACTGTCCATCTAACTGTCCATCTAACTGTCCATCTCACTGTCCATCTAACTGTCCATCTAACTGTCCATCTAACTGTCCATCTAACTGTCCATATAACTGTCCATCTCACTGTCCATCTAACTGTCCATCTAACTGTCCATCTAACTGTCCATCTCACTGTCCATCTCACTGTCCATCTAACTGTCCATCTAACTGTCCATCTCACTGTCCATCTCACTGTCCATATAACTGTCCATCTCACTGTCCATCTAACTGTCCATCTAACTGTCCATCTCACTGTCCATCTCACTGTCCATCTAACTGTCCATCTCACTGTCCATCTAACTGTCCATCTAACTGTCCATCTCACTGTCCATCTCACTGTCCATCTCACTGTCCATCTAACTGTCCATCTCACTGTCCATCTAACTGTCCATCTAACTGTCCATATAACTGTCCATCTAACTGTCCATCTCACTGTCCATCTAACTGTCCATCTCACTGTCCATCTAACTGTCCATCTCACTGTCCATCTAACTGTCCATCTAACTGTCCATCTAACTGTCCATCTAACTGTCCATATAACTGTCCATCTAACTGTCCATCTCACTGTCCATCTAACTGTCCATCTCACTGTCCATCTAACTGTCCATCTCACTGTCCATCTAACTGTCCATCTAACTGTCCATCTAACTGTCCATATAACTGTCCATCTAACTGTCCATCTAACTGTCCATCTAACTGTCCATCTCACTGTCCATCTAACTGTCCATCTCACTGTCCATCTAACTGTCCATCTCACTGTCCATCTAACTGTCCATATAACTGTCCATCTAACTGTCCATCTAACTGTCCATCTAACTGTCCATCTCACTGTCCATCTCACTGTCCATCTAACTGTCCATCTAACTGTCCATATAACTGTCCATCTCACTGTCCATCTCACTGTCCATCTAACTGTCCATCTAACTGTCCATCTAACTGTCCATCTCACTGTCCATCTCACTGTCCATCTCACTGGCCATCTAAGTGCTATTTATCCCCAAACACCACATTTTGCCTCCAGTGTTCCTCCGTCCAGATGTTGAGGTTTTAAACCCTCCAGCTGCTCTGGAATTTGTACAGCAAGCGCTGCAGCGTTTTCCCAAAAGGCAGCGCGAGGTGGAGCGAGCGGGGATGTGACGCACCGTGTTTAGGGCCAAGTTTGAGATTAGGCTGAAGCTAACTGACTGACACAGACCGGGCCGTGTCTTTTCACTACAAGGGGTGGATGGGTGATATGATGGGTCCATAGTATTGTCGCTAGTACTGCTGCCCCTGCTACCCTGCAGTCAGCCAGGGCGGTTTAGGATTATGTGCGTTTGCGTTTGCGTTTGTTAATTTGGAATTTGGTTGGCTGGGTTTTTTTCTAGTCTTAGTGTTTGTTTACGTTGGCATAGCTGCTGTTATATAATGGCTGTGTGTTGTTGCTGACCACAGTCATCAGCCTGACTGTCAGAGGACATAATGAGATGATTCCCTGTCTTGAACTTGGGCCAGATCAAGAGACACAAGCCACATTCTCCCTCGGCTCTCTCTCTCTCTCTCTCTGCAACACTGATGACTAAAGAGTTCTTAGAAATGATTCTTTCCCTCTCCTTCACGCCACTCAATTACACCCAGACGTAACGGCAGGATACACCACGTGTCCGGAAATTTTCACATTTTGGTTGCAGGCTCAATAAGATGTAAAATTAATCAAATAAAAAACTGATTTAAAACTAAATCAATCTTAAGTTTGAAATGTGCGTTTTAAGGCATGCGTAGTATATGTATGACAACATAAAGTTTCTTGAGTTAAAATTCACTTCTCTCTTTGCAGCTTAGATGAGAATTCTGGTTGTGGTAATCTGTCATTTGTCGGACACACACACACGCACGCCACAGAAACGGGCCATGTCATATGGCTGTGCACTCTAATTCCCTCTCTAGCAACAGAATGGTACAGTCCAGTAATCCTCTCTCTGTTGCCGTGGTAGCGGTGAGAGAGAGTTCTGGATGGTAGGTGACGTTAAGACTCCAGCCGACTCTCCAACCAAAGACTTTCCTAGCTGCTTTGCCCTGCCTCACTCTGCTCTGGATAATTGGAGGCTGGGGATATCTTTGACGTTGCCACAGATCACTGCAAAGGGGTAGGTTGTATTTGGTGGGGGTGTGTGTTGGGTGGGGGTGTGTTTAGGTCCCAGTAGCTATGTGTGTGTGCGGTTAACCTTGTGGTATACCTCCTATGTGCTGTAGGACTGAGCTAGGTTATATAGGACATGAATATAACCCTAACTCTATGGACTGTAGGACTGAGCTAGGTTATATAGGACATGAATATAACCTTAACTCTATGGACTGTAGGACTATGGCTAGGCTATACAGGACAGCTTCAGGAGAAATAATCGTAGCCATCTGCAGAATAATCATTAAAGTGCATTCTAGTTAGTTAAGGTTTAGGGTATCCAGATGTGTTGTGTTATTATTGAAATGAGCAAGTGAGAATGTCACCAGAGGAAATTATGACCATAGACTGCTGCCAGCAGCTTCAGTTTGGCTGCTCTGTTGCAGTTATGTGTTCTCCATGTTATTATTGCATGAGTAGTCCCGACTAAGTGGATTTCTTCTGCAGATCTGATACCGTTGTTGCTTTTCAATATTAATTTCACTAAATCCCACATTGTAACTCCCACCCGGGTTTACGGAGGTGCCATAACACTTGCCTGCAAGCTGAAGGGGTGTGAGCCGAGACCTACTAGTCGAGTTACAGTGACACCTGTCCCCAAAACCGATTTTGTAACTGTCGGTCAGTTAGAGATTTCAGATCCCAGATGTGGGAATTTAGACAGCAGCTAGCAGCATATTGTTTGTGACTTAGTGACCGCCAGGATTGGGGACATAGCAGCATATTGTCTGTTACTTAGTGACCGCCAGGCCAGGACTGGGGACAAAGCAGCATATTGTCTGTGACTTAGTGACCGCCATGGCAGGACTGGGGACAAAGCAGCATATTGTCTGTGACTTAGTGACCGCCATGGCAGGACTGGGGACAAAGCAGCATATTGTCTGTGACTTAGTGACCGCCATGGCAGGACTGGGGACATAGCAGCATATTGTTTGTGACTTAGTGACCGCCAGGACTGGGGACATAGCAGCATATTGTCTGTTACTTAGTGACCGCAAGGCCAGGACTGGGGACATAGCAGCATATTGTTTGTGACTTAGTGACCGCCAGGCCAGGACTGGGGACATAGCAGCATATTGTCTGTGACTTAGTGACCGCCAGGCCAGGACTGGGGACATAGCAGCATATTGTCTGTGACTTAGTGACCGCCATGGCAGGACTGGGGACATAGCAGCATATTGTCTGTGACTTAGTGACCGCCATGGCAGGACTGGGGACAAAGCAGCATATTGTCTGTGACTTAGTGACCGCCAGGATTGGGGACATAGCAGCATATTGTCTGTGACTTAGTGACCGCCATGGCAGGACTGGGGACATAGCAGCATATTGTTTGTGACTTAGTGACCGCCATGGCAGGACTGGGGACAAAGCAGCATATTGTCTGTGACTTAGTGACCGCCATGGCAGAACTGGGGCCATAGCAGCATATTGTCTGTGACTTAGTGACCGCCATGGCAGGACTGGGGACATAGCAGCATATTGTCTGTGACTTAGTGACCGCCATGGCAGGACTGGGGACAAAGCAGCATATTGTCTGTGACTTAGTGACCGCCATGGCAGGACTGGGGACATAGCAGCATATTGTTTGTGACTTAGTGACCGCCAGGACTGGGGACATAGCAGCATATTGTCTGTTACTTAGTGACCGCCAGGCCAGGACTGGGGACAAAGCAGCATATTGTCTGTGACTTAGTGACCGCCATGGCAGGACTAGGGACAAAGCAGCATATTGTCTGTGACTTAGTGACCGCCATGACAGGACTGGGGACAAAGCAGCATATTGTCTGTGACTTAGTGACCGCCATGGCAGGACTGGGGACATAGCAGCATATTGTCTGTGACTTAGTGACCGCCATGGCAGGACTGGGGACATAGCAGCATATTTTCTGTGACTTAGTGACCGCCAGGACTGGGGACATAGCAGCATATTGTCTGTTACTTAGTGACCGCCATGGCAGGACTGGGGACATAGCAGCATATTGTCTGTGACTTAGTGACCGCCAGGACTGGGGACATAGCAGCATATTGTCTGTGACTTAGTGACCGCCATGACAGGACTGGGGACATAACAGCATATTGTTTGTGACTTAGTGACCGCCATGGCAGGACTGGGGACATAGCAGCATATTGTTTGTGACTTAGTGACCGCCATGGCAGGACTGGGGACATAGCAGCATATTGTCTGTGACTTAGTGACCGCCAGGCCAGGACTGGGGACAAAGCAGCATATTGTCTGTGACTTAGTGACCGCCAGGACTGGGGACATAGCAGCATATTGTCTGTTACTTAGTGACCGCCAGGCCAGGACTGGGGACATAGCAGCATATTGTCTGTGACTTAGTGACCGCCATGGCAGGACTGGGGCCATAGCAGCATATTGTCTGTGACTTAGTGACCGCCATGGCAGGACTGGGGACATAGCAGCATATTGTCTGTGACTTAGTGACCGCCATGGCAGGACTGGGGACATAGCAGCATATTGTCTGTGACTTAGTGACCGCCAGGATTGGGGACATAGCAGCATATTGTCTGTGACTTAGTGACCGCCATGGCAGGACTGGGGACATAGCAGCATATTGTTTGTGACTTAGTGACCGCCATGGCAGGACTGGGGACAAAGCAGCATATTGTCTGTGACTTAGTGACCGCCATGGCAGGACTGGGGACATAGCAGCATATTGTCTGTGACTTAGTGACCGCCAGGACTGGGGACATAGCAGCATATTGTTTGTGACTTAGTGACCGCCAGGCCAGGACTGGGGACATAGCAGCATATTGTCTGTGACTTAGTGACCGCCAGGCCAGGACTGGGGACATAGCAGCATATTGTCTGTGACCGCCAGGATTGGGGACATAGCAACATATTGTCTGTGACTTAGTGACCGCCATGGCAGGACTGGGGACAAAGCAGCATATTGTCTGTTACTTAGTGACCGCCATGGCAGGACTGGGGACATAGCAGCATATTGTTTGTGACTTAGTGACCGCCATGGCAGGACTGGGGACATAGCAGCATATTGTCTGTGACTTAGTGACCGCCATGACAGGACTGGGGACATAGCAGCATATTGTCTGTGACTTAGTGACCGCCATGGCAGGACTGGGGACATAGCAGCATATTGTCTGTGACTTAGTGACCGCCATGGCAGGACTGGGGACATAGCAGCATATTGTCTGTTACTTAGTGACCGCCATGGCAGGACTGGGGACAAAGCAGCATATTGTCTGTGACTTAGTGACCGCCAGGCCAGGACTGGGGACAAAGCAGCATATTGTCTGTGACTTAGTGACCGCCATGGCAGGACTGGGGACATAGCAGCATATTGTCTGTGACTTAGTGACCGCTAGGACTGGGGACATAGCAGCATATTGTCTGTTACTTAGTGACCGCCATGGCAGGACTGGGGACAAAGCAGCATATTGTTTGTGACTTAGTGACCGCCAGGCCAGGACTGGGGACAAAAAGTGCATTCGGAAAGTATTCAGACCCCTTGAAATTTTCTACATTTTGTTACGTTACAGCCTTATTCTAAAATTGATTAAATTAATTTTTTGCTCATCAATCTACACACAATACCCCATAATGACAAAGCCAAAACTGTTTCTTAGAAATGTTTGCAAATGTATTAAAAATAAAAAACAGAAATACCTTATTTACATAACTATTCAGACCCTTTGCTATGAGACTCGAAATTGAGCTCAGGTGCATCCTGTTTCCATTGATCATCCTTGAGATGTTTCTACAACTTGATTGGAGTCCACCTGTGGTAAATTCAATTGATTGGACATGATTTGGAAAGCAACACACCTGTCTATATAAGGTCCCACAGTTGACAATGCATGTCAGAGCAAAAACCAAGCCATGAGGTTGAAGGAATTGTCCGTAGATCTCCAAGACAGGAATGTGTCAAGGCACAGGTCTGGGGAAGGGTACCAAAACATTTCTGCAGCATTGAAGGTCCTCAAGAACACAGTGGCCTCCATCATTCTTAAATGGAAGAAGTTTGGAACAACCAAGACTCTTCCTAGAGCTGGCCGCCCGGCCAAACTGAGCAATCGGGGGAGAAGGGCCTTGGTCAGGGAGGTGACCAAGAACCCGATGGTCACTCTGACAGAGCTCCAGAGTTCCTCTGTGAAGATGGGAGAACCTTCCAGAAGGACAACCATCTCTGCAGCACTCCACCCATCAAGCCTTTATGGTAGAGGGGCCAGACGGAAGCCTCTCCTCAGTAAAAGTTACATGACAGCCCACTTGGAGTTTGCCAAAAGGCACCTAAAGGACTCTCGGACCAATAATTTGTACACTGCAAATTGACCACAACTTAGCCCAAAAATGTATTGTATTTGAAAATAACAATAATTCCATACCTTGATTACATGGTCATAATGTAGAGACTTCCTGCTTGCTTACCACCAAACAATGATCAAATACAACTGAAACGTACTGGGGGAGTTTTCTTTAGTGGTATAGCTGCCGACTCCACACTGACCCCCAGGTCCACCATTTTCTGTCCTATATCTACCTCATTTGTCTCCTTGTCTCTTTCCTTGCTGTCTAAATAAAGAACAACATCAGGATAAAAATAAACCAATTAAACAATGTGTTACTGTAAAAAACAAACCAATTAAACAATGTGTTACTGTAAAAAACAAACCAATTAAACAATGTGTTACTGTAAAAAACAAACCAATTAAACAATGTGTTACTGTAAAAAACAAAAACACATTGCTTCAACCATGAGTACTTTCCTTTCCTGCCACTGTCGCAAGCCGTTGCAGTTACCGAGTAGTTACTGTAATTAAACAGAAGCCAGCTGTACCCATCATTAATACACTGAGTATACAAAACATTATGAACACCTCAATATTGGGAAGGTGTTCCTAATGTTTTGTATACTCAGTGTATGGTTACAGCAAGCAAGTCTTTGCACTAAATCTGTATATTCCAATAAAGACCATTTGCTTTTAACCCCCCCCCCCCCATGAGGTTTAAGTGTAAGGGATCTGATGATGAGTAGACAGGGGTTTGCTGTGTCCTGGCTGTGACAGTGATAGGTCATTAGATCAGGTCACACAGGGCCACCCTTAGGTCACCTGGCTGGGCTGTCAGTGATATGTCATTATCAGCATGGGGCGCTGACAACACTGGACTCGTCTGTTTTGGCTGACTAAATAAGAACTGTGCAACATTGTCTGTTCACAGTACAAAAATACTATGGATCACTATGTACTACATGCATACTAAGGTTTGCTTTTCACCTACAAAATAGTCTACATATTTGACTGTTCCGTTACAAAATGTAACTAATTTGTTAATAAATTAGGCTCATTGGGTCTATTTTGGCTTGTTATATGAGATTAACTCTACATATGAGGCATTATGCAACATCGTCTCTCTCTCTCTCTCTCTGTCTTCCCCTCAAATACTATCTGACCTGTATGACACACTGCCTGAACTCTGATAATCTGTGGCTCTGATCTCTGAACCTTAGCATTGTGGGCAAACACTCAAATTCCCTCCTTATACATGGCTATCTGAACTCAGGGGACCGGCCCGCTTTCACTGCAGCACTGACCTGCAACAATGGACTGGGCTTAGGTATTCTATTCTACCGTTCTATTCTAGTAGGTGTTATTTTCCAGTCCTGATGTTCCTTGAAAGGATTTTAACTCATAGTAACCCTAATAATGAGGGATTTGAGCCCAAATATATGTACTTTCCCTGCCTCATGTATTGTGTGGTCTCATGGCAAACGGCTATATGTCTTCAAAGATATCAAAGCAGTCACTTCGGAGCGGGTTTTCTCTTCACATGGCGCTGGCTGGTCCTTAGTTTGATAATGTTCAGGCACATGCTCAGATAGGGGTCTACCTGTACCCGAGCACATGCCCCTCCCACTCACCAAGTGCCCTAGAAAAAAATTACCTACATAACTAGCAGATTTACATCAATTATGAACATCAGTGATCATCTGATAGCCCGCCCTCTTTTCCCCATCTCAATCATTTATTTAGGAGGCACTGAAACTAGCTTGCTTACAATTCAAATCAAATCAAATCAAATCAAATGTTATTGGCCACATGCGCCGAATACAACAGGTGCAGACATTACAGTGAAATGCTTACTTACAGCCCTTAACCAACAGTGCATTTATTTTTAATTTAAAAAGTAAAATAAAACAACAACAAAAAAGTGTTGAGAAAAAAAGAGCAGCAGTAAAATAAAATAACAGTATGGAGGCTATATATACAGGGGGGGGGGGGGGGTACCGGTGCAGAGTCAATGTGCGGGGGGCACCGGCTAGTTGAGGTAGTTGAGGTAATATGTACATGTGGTTAGAGTTGAAGTGACTATGCATAAATAATTAACAGAAGTAGCAGCAGCGTAAAAAGATGGGGTCTCAATTTGTGTCGAGTGAGTGTGTTGTTGCAGAAATAAATCATATTTCTGGGGGGGGGGGGGGGGGGGGGGGGGGGGGGTTCAGTTTGATCACCTGCCCCTGATCCTGAGCCTGTTTCTGGGGCACGGCCTCGGCTGTCCTAGCCCAGCTACAGCAGTAGATAAGTAGATAAAATTAGACACCTGATTCCCGACTCTTAACCCGCTGAAGCCAGGGTGACAAGGAGATGACACCAATGTCATCCAGCTCCAGATCCACTCCCCCCCACACACTTAAGTCCCCCAGCCACAGCCCTCTGCTGGACTTCAGATTACTGATTCAGTTTTTCCTTCTCATAATGAAAGAGGGGATACCTGATAATAGATCAGCACTCTGAGACGTTTATTAAATACAGGTTCACGAGGACTCTCTCCCTCCTAACTCTAAGAATGTTCTTGAGCAGTGTATTATAATCTTAAAGGAATATTCATTCAAAGAGAGGAGGGTCTCTCCTTTCTAAAGAATCATTAAGATTTACATCCAGTTTGAGGGGATAGGTATCTCTCTCTCTCTCTCTCTCTTTCTCTCTCTCTCTCTCTCTCTTTCTCTCTCTCTCCCTCTCTCTCTCTGTTGAATGTGAGTCACGTTTCCGGCTGGAGGGATTCTCTGTGGATTAGATGACTGTGTACAGAAGTCAGGCCACTGGGAAGGAAGGAAGGCTGGAGGAGAGCTGGATTATAATCCCTGTCGGTCTATCTGTCAATTGGTTGGGGCTGGGAGTCAGGTTGATATGACAGTAGACATCAGTCAGGTTGATATTACAGTAGACATCAGTCAGGTTGATATTACAGTAGACATCAGTCAGGTTGATATTACAGTAGACGTCAGTCAGGTTGATATTACAGTAGACATCAGTCAGGTTGATATGACAGTAGACATCAGTCAGGTTGATATGACAGTAGACATCCGTCAGATTGATATTACAGTAGACGTCAGTCAGGTTGATATTACAGTAGACGTCAGTCAGGTTGATATTACAGTAGACATCAGTCAGGTTGATATGACAGTAGACATCCGTCAGATTGATATTACAGTAGAATTCAGTCAGGTTGATATTACAGTAGACATCAGTCAGGTTGATATTACAGTAGAATTCAGTCAGGTTGATATGACAGTAGACATCCGTCAGATTGATATTACAGTAGAATTCAGTCAGGTTGATATGACAGTAGACATCCGTCAGATTGATATTACAGTAGAATTCAGTCAGGTTGATATTACAGTAGAATTCAGTCAGGTTGATATGACAGTAGACATCCGTCAGATTGATATTACAGTAGAATTCAGTCAGGTTGATATTACAGTAGACATCAGTCAGGTTGATATGACAGTAGACATCAGTCAGGTTGATATGACAGTAGACGTCAGTCAGATTGATATTACAGTAGAATTCAGTCAGGTTGATATGACAGTAGACATCCGTCAGATTGATATTACAGTAGAATTCAGTCAGGTTGATATGACAGTAGACATCCGTCAGATTGATATTACAGTAGAATTCAGTCAGGTTGATATTACAGTAGACATCAGTCAGGTTGATATGACAGTAGACATCAGTCAGGTTGATATGACAGTAGACGTCAGTCAGATTGATATTACAGTAGAATTCAGTCAGGTTGATATGACAGTAGACATCCGTCAGATTGATATTACAGTAGACGTCAGTCAGGTTGATATTACAGTAGACATCAGTCAGGTTGATATTACAGTAGACATCCGTCAGGTTGATATTACAGTAGACATTCGTCAGGTTGATATTACAGTAGAATTCAGTCAGGTTGATATTACAGTAGAATTCAGTCAGGTTGATATGACAGTAGACATCCGTCAGATTGATATTACAGTAGACATCAGTCAGGTTGATATTACAGTAGACATCAGTCAGGTTGATATGACAGTAGACATCAGTCAGGTTGATTTTACAGTAGACATCCGTTAGGTTGATATTACAGTAGACATCAGTCAGGTTGATATTACAGTAGACATCAGTCAGGTTGATATTACAGTAGACATCAGTCAGGTTGATATGACAGTAGACGTCAGTCAGGTTGATATGACAGTAGACGTCAGTCAGATTGATATTACAGTAGAATTCAGTCAGGTTGATATGACAGTAGACATCCGTCAGATTGATATTACAGTAGACGTCAGTCAGGTTGATATTACAGTAGACATCAGTCAGGTTGATATTACAGTAGACATCCGTCAGGTTGATATTACAGTAGACATTCGTCAGGTTGATATTACAGTAGAATTCAGTCAGGTTGATATTACAGTAGAATTCAGTCAGGTTGATATGACAGTAGACATCCGTCAGATTGATATTACAGTAGACATCAGTCAGGTTGATATTACAGTAGACATCAGTCAGGTTGATATGACAGTAGACATCAGTCAGGTTGATTTTACAGTAGACATCCGTTAGGTTGATATTACAGTAGACATCAGTCAGGTTGATATTACAGTAGACATCAGTCAGGTTGATATTACAGTAGACATCAGTCAGGTTGATATTACAGTAGACATCAGTCAGGTTGATATTACAGTAGACATCAGTCAGGTTGATATTACAGTAGACATCCGTCAGGTTGATATTACAGTAGACATTCGTCAGGTTGATATTACAGTACACTATGTTCTCTTAGTCACTTTGTTTGACGCAGCTCTGTTAGGGGGGGAAATGATGCTCAGATCCAATTAGCTGAAGCTCTTTTCAATCTAGTCGTTAGGCAAATCAAATAGTTTAGTCATGGTTCCTAGATTTGAATGAAGGGCTTTGCACCTCTGTCTGACTGCCTGGGTTGTATTAGGTCTAGTGTTGCTGCTTTAGCCATACAGAGCCAACTCTGAGTGCTGTGCTTCATTACGTTGTCTTATGTAATACTCCAGGTGTCAAGGTCTTCCCCTGCCTTACCCCATTCTTTAGCCTCTTTAATCTGTAGGCCTATCAGGTGAGCTTCAATTATTAAGGCATGATTGTGAACTTCCCTGGTTTGTGTCCCCCTGGCAGGTTGCGGCAGAGACCCCGTGCGTAGCGTTAAATGAGGCTCCAGCCAGGTGTGAGGAGACTCCCAGAGATGAGGAGGAGTCGGGGCCGCGAGTGATCCCAACCCTGCCAGGCCTTTGCCCCGCCCCCACCCCGAGCCCCTCCCACCAGAAGGAGCACACAGAAGACCAGCGACTACAGTTGCTGGTGAGAACAGATACAGTAATATCACATTATAGTCCCACTCACCTCATACAGTATACGACCCCCGTCATGGCTAGCTATACTGACACACACCTCTTGTTGGAGACTGGACTGAAATGGCATCACTAATTGGACTAGTGCGGTCAGTAAGCCTACTGCTGAATATTGAAAGCTGGCTAAAGCAGTTATGATGTAATGGTTGCTTGTGGGTCTGAAGGATGGCTTTATCGATGCATTAAGATAAACCCAAGTATTAATGCTAATGCTATGGACAGACAATGGTGAGAAACAAATCAGGTCACAGGTCAAGCGCTTAATTGTCAATATTGCCTTCCTGCAGCTGTGTCTGTCACTGTAGAGGACGATTCCACACTGCTCACCATTAAGCTCTTGCATCCAGTCAGTCGATTAGACTGAGTCAACTGTCCTACAGTAATAATCATACTGCTTGATTATTTGGCTCTATGTCGCGATGGACGCAGAAATAAGCAGATTTCTCTGTTTTGTTGCTGGGAGATGGGGGCGGGGGGCGGGGCCTAACTGACTATGCAAGTAAGCTGCATTTAGAATAAAATAAGAATGCTAAGCTTGGTAAAACCTCGTTACCATGTCAGAGGTCAATATGGAATTAAGGACTTACATTTGATGTTGGATCCGAAACAGATTGATCGTGATTCGTGCAGACACTTTTTTGGCAAACACAAACATGATATGATAATATGCTTTGTCATCTGATACACAGGACAGGACATGGTATCATAGGCATGCATGGTACTCTAGCTGGAGAGGCCTCTGATTGTCTTTTCTCACAGAACAGTGTACATCAAATAGGCCTTTCGAATTTAACGAAACAACACAAACGATCACAACAACACTAAAAGTTCCTATTTCAACTACAGCGTTCATATGTCAGTGGGGCAGATATGGAGCAGATGTGGGGTATGGAGTCGGATAAGGATGTTTCTGATGTGTAGGTCAAGTCACTGTAACGTGACATGCTCAGGCTTTGTGGTGGTGTTTTGTTTCAGGAACGTGACATGCTCTTTGTGGTGGCGTTTTGTTTCAGGAACGTGACATGCTCTTTGTGGTGGCGTTTTGTTTCAGGAACGTAACATGCTCTTTGTGGTGGCGTTTTGTTTCATGAACGTGACATGCTCTTTGTGGTGGCGTTTTGTTTCATGAACGTGACATGCTCTTTGTGGTGGCGTTTTGTTTCAGGAACGTGACATGCTCTTTGTGGTGGCGTTTTGTTTCAGGAACGTGACATGCTCTTTGTGGTGGCGTTTTGTTTCAGGAACGTGACATGCTCTTTGTGGTGGCGTTTTGTTTTAGGAACGTGACATTCTCTTTGTGGTGGCGTTTTGTTTCAGGAACGTGACATGCTCTTTGTGGTGGCGTTTTGTTTCAGGAACGTGACATTCTCTTTGTGGTGGCGTTTTGTTTCAGGAACGTGACATGCTCTTTGTGGTGGCGTTTGTTTCAGGAACGTGACATGCTCTTTGTGGTGGCGTTTTGTTTCAGGAACGTGACATGCTCTTTGTGGTGGCGTTTTGTTTCAGGAACGTGACATGCTCTTTGTGGTGGCGTTTTGTTTCAGGAACGTGACATGCTCTTTGTGGTGGCGCTTTGTTTCAGGAACGTGACATGCTCTTTGTGGTGGCGTTTTGTTTCAGGAACGTGACATGCTCTTTGTGGTGGCGTTTTGTTTCAGGAACGTGACATGCTCTTTGTGGTGGCGTTTTGTTTCAGGAATGTGACATGCTCTTTGTGGTGGCAGTTTGTTTCAGGAACGTGACATGCTCTTTGTGGTGGCGTTTTGTTTCAGGAACGTGACATGCTCTTTGTGGTGGCGTTTTGTTTCAGGAACGTGACATGCTCTTTGTGGTGGCGTTTTGTTTCAGGAACGTGACATGCTCTTTGTGGTGGCGTTTTGTTTCAGGAACGTGACATGCTCTTTGTGGTGGCGTTTTGTTTCAGGAACGTGACATGCTCTTTGTGGTGGCGTTTTGTTTCAGGAACGTGACATGCTCTTTGTGGTGGCGTTTTGTTTCAGGAACGTGACATGCTCTTTGTGGTGGCGTTTTGTTTCAGGAACGTGACATGCTCTTTGTGGTGGCGTTTTGTTTCAGGAACGTGACATGCTCTTTGTGGTGGCGCTTTGTTTCAGGAACGTGACATGCTCTTTGTGGTGGCGTTTTGTTTCAGGAACGTGACATGCTCTTTGTGGTGGCGTTTTGTTTCAGGAACGTGACATGCTCTTTGTGGTGGCGTTTTGTTTCAGGAACGTGACATGCTCTTTGTGGTGGCGTTTTGTTTCAGGAACGTGACATGCTCTTTGTGGTGGCGTTTTGTTTCAGGAACGTGACATGCTCTTTGTGGTGGCAGTTTGTTTCAGGAACGTGACATGCTCTTTGTGGTGGCGTTTTGTTTCAGGAACGTGACATGCTCTTTGTGGTGGCGTTTTGTTTTAGGAACGTGACATTCTCTTTGTGGTGGCGTTTTGTTTCAGGAACGTGACATGCTCTTTGTGGTGGCGTTTTGTTTCAGGAACGTGACATTCTCTTTGTGGTGGCGTTTTGTTTCAGGAACGTGACATGCTCTTTGTGGTGGCGTTTTGTTTCAGGAATGTGACATGCTCTTTGTGGTGGCGTTTTGTTTCAGGAACGTGACATGCTCTTTGTGGTGGCGTTTTGTTTCAGGAACGTGACATGCTCTTTGTGGTGGCGTTTTGTTTCAGGAACGTGACATGCTCTTTGTGGTGGCGTTTTGTTTCAGGAACGTGACATGCTCTTTGTGGTGGCGTTTTGTTTCAGGAACGTGACATGCTCTTTGTGGTGGCGTTTTGTTTCAGGAACGTGACATGCTCTTTGTGGTGGCGTTTTGTTTCAGGAACGTGACATGCTCTTTGTGGTGGCGTTTTGTTTCAGGAACGTGACATGCTCTTTGTGGTGGCGTTTTGTTTCAGGAACGTGACATGCTCTTTGTGGTGGCGTTTTGTTTCAGGAACGTGACATGCTCTTTGTGGTGGCGTTTTTGTTTCAGGAACGTGACATGCTCTTTGTGGTGGCGTTTTGTTTCAGGAACGTGACATGCTCTTTGTGGTGGCGTTTTGTTTCAGGAACGTGACATGCTCTTTGTGGTGGCGTTTTGTTTCAGGAACGTGAGCTGAGTAATAAGAGAAAAGAATGTGAAAACCTGGAGCATGAAGTAAGGAAGAGACAGAAGGGATGTCTGGATTTGGTAAGGGATCCTCAGGGCTGCACTGGGCCGTCCTCGTCCTATCACGTGCCTGTTAACTACTGTACTCAAGGTGCTACTCCCAGTGGGCCAGGTGTTATGACCAGTGGAGGCTGGTGGAGGGAGAAATGCCACTGGAATGGAACAGTATCAGCCACGTGAAACACAAGGTTCCATTCGTTCTATTCCAGCCATTACACTGAGCCCGTCCTCAGATTTAAAGTGACACCAGCCTCCACTGATTGCCACAGTAATGTTACCACTGTACGACAGTATAGTTACTATAGCGACTCCCTCTGACAGGAGAGCCAGCTTGAGGATGAGCGAGGCAAAAATAAGCATCTAGAAGAGGAGGCGGATCTCCTCAGGAGGAAGGCACAGCTGATTGGCCAGGTCAGTCTCTGTTCTAATCTATTCTATTGTATACCATTCTATTCCATTTTTAATATATTCTTTGAGGGCCTCTTATGACAGAATCAATCTACATTATGGTTCAAATGGAACCCTCAACTGTCTTCTCTGTCATGAACCTTCAGTAGACTGGAAGGGCTTCTGTTTTATGGGCCTGTATTTGTTTTGTGTCTGTCCCTCTCCTCCTGGTCCTGAGGAATGACAGTACTCATGCCCAGTGACTCCTTCTCTTCCTATTCCTCACCCGCTCTCTCTCTCTTCTCTCGCTCTCCACCCCATCCCTCTCTCTCAGGCCTGGGTTGAGAATGAGGAGCTGAGGGAAGACCTCTCTGAAGTGACCACTCAACGTGATTCAGTTCTCAAGGAGAACCAGAGACTCCGTGTCAAACTGGAGAACCTAGAACAGGTCTTAAAGGTACAGGCTGACCTCTAGTATTGTAAAGGTCTTAAAGGTACAGGCTGACCTCTAGTATAGAGCAGGTCTTAAAGGTACAGGCTGACCTCTAGTATAGAGCAGGTCTTAAAGGTACAGGCTGACCTCTAGTATTGTAAAGGTCTTAAAGGTACAGGCTAACCTCTAGTGTTGTAAAGTTCTTAAAGGTACAGGCTGACCTCTAGTATTGTAAAGGTCTTAAAGGTACAGGCTGACCTCTAGTATAGAGCAGGTCTTAAAGGTACAGGCTGACCTCTAGTATAGAGCAGGTCTTAAAGGTACAGGCTGACCTCTAGTATTGTAAAAGTCTTAAAGGTACAGGCTGACCTCTAGTATAGAGCAGGTCTTAAAGGTACAGGCTGACCTCTAGTATAGAGCAGGTCTTAAAGGTACAGGCTGACCTCTAGTATAGAGCAGGTCTTAAAGGTACAGGCTGACCTCTAGTATTGTAAAGGTCTTAAAGGTACAGGCTGACCTCTAGTATAGAGCAGGTCTTAAAGGTACAGGCTGACCTCTAGTATTGTAAAGGTCTTAAAGGTACAGGCTGACCTCTAGTGTTGTAAAGGTCTTAAAGGTACAGGCTGACCTCTAGTATTGTAAAGGTCTTAAAGGTACAGGCTGACCTCTAGTATTGTAAAGGTCTTAAAGGTACAGGCTGACCTCTAGTATTGTAAAGGTCTTAAAGGTACAGGCTGACCTCTAGTATTGTAAAGGTCTTAAAGGTACAGGCTGACCTCTAGTATAGAGCAGGTCTTAAAGGTACAGGCTGACCTCTAGTATAGAGCAGGTCTTAAAGGTACAGGCTGACCTCTAGTATTGTAAAGGTCTTAAAGGTACAGGCTGACCTCTAGTATAGAGCAGGTCTTAAAGGTACAGGCTGACCTCTAGTATTGTAAAGGTCTTAAAGGTACAGGCTGACCTCTAGTGTTGTAAAGGTCTTAAAGGTACAGGCTGACCTCTAGTATTGTAAAGGTCTTAAAGGTACAGGCTGACCTCTAGTATTGTAAAGGTCTTAAAGGTACAGGCTGACCTCTAGTATTGTAAAGGTCTTAAAGGTACAGGCTGACCTCTAGTATAGAGCAGGTCTTAAAGGTACAGGCTGACCTCTAGTATTGTAAAGGTCTTAAAGGTACAGGCTGACCTCTAGTATAGAGCAGGTCTTAAAGGTACAGGCTGACCTCTAGTGTAGAGCAGGTCTTAAAGGTACAGGCTGACCTCTAGTATAGAGCAGGTCTTAAAGGTACAGGCTGACCTCTAGTATTGTAAAGGTCTTAAAGGTACAGGCTGACCTCTAGTATTGTAAAGGTCTTAAAGGTACAGGCTGACCTCTAGTATAGAGCAGGTCTTAAAGGTACAGGCTGACCTCTAGTGTAGAGCAGGTCTTAAAGGGACAGGCTGACCTCTAGTGTAGAACAGGTCTTAAAGGTACAGGCTGACCTCTAGTATTGTAAAGGTCTTAAAGGTACAGGCTGACCTCTTGTATAGAGCAGGTCTTAAAGGTACAGGCTGACCTCTAGTATAGAGCAGGTCTTAAAGGTACAGGCTGACCTCTAGTGTTGTAAAGGTCTTAAAGGTACAGGCTGACCTCTAGTATAGAGCAGGTCTTAAAGGTACAGGCTGACCTCTAGTATAGAGCAGGTCTTAAAGGTACAGGCTGACCTCTAGTGTTGTAAAGGTCTTAAAGGTAGGCTGACCTTTAAAGAGAGTCTTAAGGTAAGGCTGACCCTAAGTAAGCAGGCTCTTAAAGGTAACAGGCTGACCTCTAGTTATGTAAAGGTCTTAAAGGTACAGTGACCTCAGTATGTAAAGGTCCTTAAAGGTACAGGTACCTTACTATAAAGGTCTAAAGTACAGGCTGACCGTCTATGAAGTCTTAAAGGTACAGGCTGACCTCTAGATAGGCAGGTCTTAAAGGTACAGGCTGACCTCTAGTATGTAAGGTTAAAGGTACAGGCTGACCTCTAGTATAGAGCGTCTTTAAAAGGGAAGGTGACCCTGTTAGAGAGGTCTTAAAGGTAGGCTGACCTCAGGTTGAATTAAGAAGGTCTTAAAGGTACGCTGACCTCTGTAAGCAGGTCTAAAGGTTACAGGCAGCTGACCTAGTTAGCAGGTCTTAAAGGACAGGCTGACCTCTAGTATAGAGCAGGTCTTAAAGGACAGGTACCTCTAGTGTAGAGGTCAGGTTAAAGGTACAGGCGCTCTAGTATGTAAAGGTCTTAAAGGACAGGCTGACCTCTAGTATGAGTCAGTCTTAAGGTACAGGCTACCTCTAGTGTAGCAGGTCTTAAAGGTAAGGTGACCTCTAGTAAGAGCGGTTCTTAAAGGTACAGGCTGACCTCTTAGTAAGCAGGTCTGTAAGAAGGGACTCTAGTTAAAGGTCTTAAAGGACAGGCTGACCTCTAGTAGAGCAGGTTTAAAGGTACAGGCGACCTCTAGTATAGAGCAGGTCTTAAAGGTACAGGCCTCTAGTTGTAAAGGTCTTAAAGTACAGGCTGACCTCTAGTATTGTAAAGGTCTTAAAGGTACAGGCTGACCTCTAGGTAAGAAGCAGCTCTTAAAGGTACAGGCTGACCTCTAGTATTGTAAATGTCTTAAAGGTACAGGCTGACCTCTAGTATAGAGCAGGTCTTAAAGTACAGGCTGACCTCTAGTTGTAAAGGTCTTAAAGGTACAGGTGACCTCTATATTGTAAAGGTGCTTAAAGGTTAAAGGCTGACCTCTAGTTAAGCAGGTCTTAAAGGTAAGGTGACCTCTAGTATTGTAAAGGTCTTAAAGGTACAGGCTGACCTCTAGTATAGAGCAGGTCTTAAAGGTACAGCTGACCTCTAGTGTAATAAGGCAGGTCTTAAGGTAAGGGCTTAGTTAAGGTAACAGGTCTTAAAGGTACAGGCTGACCTAGTATTGTACAGTTCTTAAAGGTAAGGCTGAACCTCTAGTATTGTAAAGGTCTTAAAGGTACAGGCTGACCTCTAGTATTGTAAAGGTCTTAAAGGTACAGGCTGACCTCTAGTAAAGGTCTGCTTAAAGGACAGGCTGACCCTATTTTAAAGGTCTTAAAGGTAAGGCGACCTTAAGTAAGGCAGTCTTAAGGTTAAGGCTACCTATGTGACAGGTCTTAAGGTACAGGCTGACCTCTGTATAGAGCAGGTCTTAAAGGTACAGGCTGACCTCTAGTATGAAAGCATCTTAAAGGTACAGGTGAATCTGTAGTAAAGGTCTTAAAGGTACAGGCTACTCTAGTTAAGAAGCAGGTCTTAAGGTACAGCTGACCTCTAGTTGACAGGTCTTAAAGGTCAGGCTGACCTTTAATTAAAATGTCTTAAAGGCCTACAGGCTGACCTCTTAGTCTAGAGAAGCCGGTCTTACAGGTACAGGCTGACCTCTAGTGTATAAGAGCAGGGTCTTACAGGTACAGGCCTGCCCTCTAGTATAGAGCAGGTCTCTAAAGGTACAGGTGACCTCTCGTATTGTAAAGGTCTTAAACGGTACAGGTCTGACCTCTCGTGTAGATCAGGTTTTCTTAAAGGGACAGGCTGCCCTCTTTAGTATTGTAAAGGTTTAACGGTACGGGCTTGAACCTCTTAGTCTAGAGCAGGTCTTAAAGGTACAGGCTGACCTCTAGTATAGAGCAGGTCTAAAGTACAGGCTGACCTCTAGTTAGAGCAGGTCTTAAAGGTACAGGCTGACCTCTAGTATAGAGCAGGTCTTAAAGGTACAGGCTGACCTCTAGTATAGAGCAGGTCTTAAAGGTACAGGCTGACCTCTAGTATAGAGCAGGTCTTAAAGGTACAGGCTGACCTCTAGTTATTGTAAAGGTCTTAAAGGTACAGGCTGACCTCTAGTATTGTAAAGGTCTTAAAGGTACAGGCTGACCTCTAGTATAGAGCAGGTCTTAAAGGTACAGGCTGACCTCTAGTGTAGAGCAGGTCTTAAAGGTACAGGCTGACCTCTAGTATTGTAAAGGTCTTAAAGGTACAGGCTTCCACACATACACTACCGGTCAAAAGTTTTAGAACACGTAGTCATTCCAGGGTTTTCTACATTGTAGAATAATAGTGAAGACATCAAAACTATGAAATAACATATATGAAATCATGTAGTAACCAAAAAAGTGTTAATCAAATCAAAATATATTTTATATTTGAGATTCTTCAAAGTA